TCTAGAAACCAGAGAACATGAGAACGCAGATCCAGAAATCAGAGAGGAAGGGAAAGCAGCTCCAGAAACAAGAAAGCAGGAGAAAGAAAGTCCAGAAACCAGAGAGCAAAGAAAAGCAGCTCCAGAAACCAAAGAACAAGCAGAAGCAGGTCCAGAAATCAGAGAGCAAGAGATAGAAGGTCTAGAAACCAGAGAACATGAGAACGCAGATCCAGAAATCAGAGAGCAAGGTAAAACAGCTCCAGAAACCAGAGAACAAGAAAATGAAGGTCCAGAAACCAGAGAGCAAGGAAAAGCAGGTCAAGGAGGCAGAGCAGCAGGGAACATGGTTCCAGAAAGCATAGAGCCAGGGAATGCTGCTCTAGAAATCAGAGAGCCACAGAATGTGGCTCCAGAAACCATACAGCTAGGAAATTCAGGTCTGGAAACCAGAGAGCAAGGGGAAGCAAGTTTAGGAGGCAGAGAACAAGGAAACATGGATCCAGAAACTAAAGAGCTAGGAAACAAGGGTCCAGAAACCACAGGGCAAGGGAATGTGGATCCAGAAACCAGAGAGCAAGAGACCTCAGGTCCAGTAGGAAGAGAGAAAGGAAAAGTAAATTCAGAAACAAGTGAGCAAGGAAATGTGGATCCAGAAGGCAGAGAGGAAATGAAAGCGGATTCTAAGAGGAAAGAGCAAGGAAACACAGATGGAGAAGGTAAAGAACAGGAGAAATGGGATCCAGAAGGCAGAGAGCCAGGAAATGCAGAAGCAGAAGGCAGAGTGTTAGGGAATGTGGATCCAGCTGGCAAAGTAGAGGATGTGGATCCAGAAAGCAGACAGCAAGAGAATGCAGAACCAGAAGGCAGAGAGCAAGATAATGTAGAACCAGACAGCAGAGAGGTAGGGATTGTGAATCCAGAAGGTAGAGAAGTAGAGAATATGGATCAAGAAGGCAGAGAGGCAGGGAACAAGCATTCAGAAACCAGAGAACAAGGGAACGTGTTTCCAGAAGGCAGAGACCAAGGGAAGCCAGATCCAGAAGACAGAGAGATAGGCATTGTGGGTCCAGAGATCAGAGAGCAATGGAGCATGAATGTAGAAGGCAGAGACCAAGGGAATGTGGACCCAGAAACCAGAGAGGAAGGGAATGTGGACCCAGAAACCAGAGAGCAAAGGAACCCAGAAGGCAGAGACCAAGGGAATGCAGACCCAGAAACTGGAGAGCAAGGGAATGCAAATCCAGAAACTGGAGAGGAAGGGAACATGGGTCCAGAAGGCAAGGACCGAGTGAATATGGACCCAGGTGGCAGAGACATAGGGAATGAGGCTCTAGAAACCAGAGATCAGGGGACTGTGGGTTCAGGAAGCAGAAAGCAAAAGAACATGGACCCAGAAGGCAGAGAGGTAGAGAATGCAGATCCAGAAACTAGAGAGCAAGGGAACTTGGGTCTAGAAACCAGGAAGCAAGAGAACCTGGGTCCAGGAGGCAGAGAGGTAGGGAAAGCAAATCCAGAAACCAAAGAGCAAGGAAACACAGATTCAGAAACCAGAGAGAAAGGGAAAACAGAACAGAAAGGCAGGGAGCTGGGAAAAAGAGATCAAGATAGCAGCCAGCAAGGAGAAACAAATCAAGAAGGTGAAAATGAACAGGAAGTCGTTCTGTTCTTGCATTTACCTTCTGTGTCCTCTGTAATTCATCCTGAATTGGACACAAGAAAAGAAGAAGAAAAAGAAGAGAAACAAGAAATAAGACCTGCTATTTCACAGAACTCATTTGTTGCTGAGAAAATAACAACTAGGGATGATATCTCAAATAATGTATACACAATACAAGAGTCTGAACCACAGAAACAAGTGGATAGAGAAGAAGCAGCAAGTATGAACTATAACATGCCTGCCGAAGGCATGACTGTCAAGGCAGAGCAATTGCCGCTTTCACAGTTACCCAATCTCAGTGGAGATAGTGGCTCAAGATCTACAGTGGTGCAGACAAAAGGAAGAGAAAACCTGGGGAATGTGCAGGAAAGAGAAAGTGAACTAAGTGAAATTCTGACATTACCTGCTATGCCTCACTATGAATTAGACAAAGGATTAGAAATCAAGGATGAGAAACCAGAGGCAGCAAGATCCTTTCTTTCAACCTCACAACACATGGAATCATCCAGTGCAGAGGAATTAAAATACCCAGTGTCACCTTCGAATGATATCTCAAGCGATTTTGAAAGAACAAAATGCATGACCCAGGTTGAAGAAGATAAAGCAAATATTTCTGAGAAAAGCATAAGGCATCCCAAGTACAGGGCTGTGGAGGCAAAGAAATCGCCCTCTTCCCATATGCTCGAAATAAAGAAACGGCAAGTGCAGGAAACAGTCATGTCCCTGAGCAAACGACATTTCTATTTCATTTCCTCTTCAACTCACTTGAAACTAGAAACAATAAAAGAAGAGGATGAGGAGTCAGAATTAATACAATGTGATGTACTACATCCTGTGTCCCAGGAGTTATTGCTTTCAGGGCAAATGGCATCTACAGAGTCTACTGCTAGCCAAATAAAAAGCATAAATCAAAACCTACCACAGAAAGAAGACAGAGTACAAACAGTAGCCACAAGTAGCTTAATGCACCCTGATGGGGTGGTTTTCAAGGCACAGACATCAGCACCTCCACATGTGCATGGATTTACAGAGCAGAGTCCTCTGAGCGAGAGAAAGGAACCACAGTGGCACACTGAAGAGAAAGTAGGACAGAAGCAGAAAGGAACAGCAGATCCTGAAGAGGCTCCGACAAAAACTTATCTTTCCACATCTTCTCCAGCTCACCAAAGATCCTTTCCCACACAGTCAAAGCATCCTACATCAGCAGATACTTTGCTGACTAGCCATGCAGACCCAAATGAAAGTATCAGCTCACATAATGCCATATTAAAAGCAAGGCAATTTGTGCCATGTAGAGAGGCAAATGGCAGAGGAAAAACAGAAGATGCAACAGGTAGGATGCTGCCTGGAAAAATGGGTTTCAGAGGAGAGACCAATCCACCCGCACATCTGTGCAACAGAAGGAAAGCACCACTGAGTGTTAAAGAGCAAAGGAAAGAGGCTCAGGAGGGGAAGAGTGAACCAGGCATGATTCGGAGGAAAAGCTATGCTTTATTGCCTTTTCTGTCTTACTTGAAATGGGATGGGAGCACGGACGAAAGGGAAGGCACACCAGAAAGAACACAGTTCCATCTTCCAACACCAAAGATTCAGGATCCGTCAACTTCAGGCAAAAAACCATATACTGAAGCATTGGATAGCTGTATGCTAAGCTACAGAAAAGAACCAATACGATCTACTACACAACAAGGAGAGAAAGACAGAATAGATATGCAAGACAAAATGCTTCCCGAATGTATGGACCAGAAGGTAAGGAAATTACCACTTCCACATGTACTCAGCATCAAAGAGTTGCAGTGGAAAATTAGAGAACAAAAGAGAAAGATGGAAGAGGAGCAAAATGAACTAGTTGCAGGTCTGACAAACAGAGCTACAAAATTGTCCCTCCCACAATTACAGTTCCGGGAATTATTGGATGCAGGAAGAATAGCATGCCCAGAAGCAATTGTTGGAGAACTTTCAAGTGAAGTCAAAGAATTTAAAAAACACATGCTACAGAAAGAAAAGGCTAGAGAACAAGTTCTGGATATGAGTAGTACAGTGAATCCTAACATGTATTTAAAAACAAAGAAATCACCTACATTACATACACACAATTTAGGAGGCCTTCAGTGGCAAACTAGAGAGCCAGAACAGAAAGTCAAGGAAGTTCAAAGCAAGCCACTAGTGACACTGACAGAGACTTCTGCTTCTAGACCTCGCACACTTTACCTTGGAGTGAATACAGGAATCAAGGAAGAAAGCACACCAGTGTTAACAACATCCTCTTTTCCCACAGAAAACTTCCAGAAATCCTTAGATTCTGAAGGGGGCATATATATAAAGCCAGCTACTGGTGATATTTCAATCAGTCTACAAAAAGGAAAACAGGATATGCCACAAAAGAAGGAAGAGGATGGAGTACAAATAGTAAACATCATAATGTTCCCCAGACATCCAGAAACGAAGGTGCAGGAATGCAAAGACGAAGCAGCTGTGGTTTTGACCAAATCCTCTACTTTATTAGCTCCACTTCACACCAAAGTAGATAAAGAAATACATGAGGAAATGCTGAAACTGGTAAGGTCTGTTTTGCAGAGAATGTCAAATATGGGAGAAACAGCACCTAAAGATTCAATGGCTGGTGAAACCATGGAAGATGTTAAAAACAGAAAGCAAGAAGAGAGGGACAGAGAAAAAATGGTAGACAGGAGAGGCACAGATGTCACTCTGAAATCAAAGAAATCAACTCCTTCCTGTAAAGTCCACAGGACAGAACTGCATGTGAATATCAGAGGGCAAGAGCAAAAGGAATGTGAAGGGCAGGGTGAGCCACAAGGTACGGCTCTAAGAAAAATCTATGCTTCCAAGACTTCTCTAGTTAACCTTAAACTGGATAAAGGTATACAAGTGCAGGAAGAAAGACTTGAAAACAAAACATTATCTCTTGTCCCACTAATGCTTTCAGCATTGTCAGAAGCAGAGAAAATAGCCGACTCAGAGCCAATGAGTAGTGACGTAAGAAAAGGAAAACACAAATACACATTACAGGAAGAAATGAGGTATAAAGTGAAGACGGTGGATCTGAGCATAAGGATGCATGACAACGTGGCAAAAATTTCACAGATTTCACCTATCTTTAATTCAAATGCATTTGTGTTGAATATCAGAATGTCAGAGAAAAAAGAGAATGAAGGTAAAGGTGAATCATGTGTGGTTCTGACCAAAACTTTTCTTTCTATACCATCAGCACCTCCCTTTTATCTGGAATCAGGGAGCAAAACAGACAAAGACACACTAAAAATTACAGAATCCTCTTGTCCACAGCAAAATCTGCAGGAATCCTCAAATGCCCAGAAAATAGCAAATAAAGAACCAGTTGAAGTTGATTGTAAAAATATTACGAAACACATAGTACATTACGTGTCCCCCAAAGAGGCAGAACAACCGTGGACTTCGAACTTCATGATCAGTGTCCAACAAAGGAATGAGCCTTCCCGAGTCAAAGAAGATCAGAACATTTATTTTACAGGATTCGGTACTATAAGAAGTGGAAAAGGGCTGGAGTGGTTCTTTACAGAGCAAAAGGCTAAGCCAAAGCAATATGAAAAAGAAACTCTAACCACATTTCTTTCCTGCCCCACAATGGATGCAACTAAAGTTGGAAATCTTAAGAAAGAAACTGAAATAATGGCTAATTTCAACCAGGAAGCAAGCCCCAGGGGTTCAGTTCCATTGCCAGTGGAAATAGCCAGGGAAATATACGTCACAGTTGGCACTTCTGTAGGTACAAAAGGGTTTTCTGCTCCAGCGAGAGGCACTCGTCAACCAGGAGCTTCATCAAGAGCATCTCCAGGATCTGTGGATTCATGTAAACTTGATAAGTCACAGAAGGATGTACGAAGGAAAAGTAAACTTAGCAGAACGGGGAAAACCACAGCGGGCCCCAGCCTACAAGTATTACCAGGAACACACATGGGTGTTACAGAGTCTGGTGCCAGAAGAGGGCAAAAAGAGCACACATTGCTTGCTTCCGAACACAAGGAGCATGTTGTACGGTCACTCCAGGATTCCCTTCTCTGCCCCTCGACCGCTCAGCTTCAACGTAGAGATCTGGAGGATGAAGGTGAAACTGAGACAGACATCACTATAAAGCTGGAACAGAAAAAATTAGAAATGGGAAACAGCAATGTTGTGACTCAGAAAGAAAGCAAATTTAAAATGGACACTTGTAAGGCCGTAGGTCTGGAAGAAGACAAAACAGGAATGCTGAAGCGTGCTGTCAATCTAGAGAAGGAGAAAGTCACAGCAGGCCCAAGTAGCACTGTCAACCTCCCTGGATCTCAAATGAATCAGGTAATTGCTCATATAGACAACAGCTGCATGGTCAAGCAAAAGCATAGGAGGAAACGAGAAGTGTCTGGTTCAGAACAAATCATTCAACTACAAAAATTTCTTCAAAGAAGTATTCTGGATTCATTTTATGCCTATATTCCTTTTACTCCCAAATCTGAAGGCCAGAAAGGTAGAGTGATAATATCAGGCCTGGAAAAAGAATTGAGGCCCAAATATTTAACTGTGAAAACCCCAAATCACCCAATTCCGCAGGATGCAAGCATCACAGGACATGGGAAATTAGAGTGTGGCACCAACAGACCAAACAACATCGTCTCCTGGAGTAAAGGTGCCTCAGGTATCGTGATCAGAAGTCTTACGATTTCCATGATGAGTCCGCCTCACACTGAAGAAACAGTGGAATCTAAGACAAACGTAGAAAGAGAAAAGAGAAGCTGTCTTTCTAAGTTCCAGGAGGAACCACCACATGTTACTCTGATTGTTAAGAAAGACACCTTAGCAGTTGTAAAAGGGGAAGATAATTTTACAGACACAGTTGCACAAGATTCCCGGCCTTTTGTGGTAGATGAAGAACAAAGGCTGAAACTTCGGAAGTCAGAAGCAAACCTCAGAAGGGAAATAAGTAAAAGGACTTTACCTCCACAAATGAAAGAAAGCATTGCTCCTTGTCATGATGTCTCAAGGATCATTAAAAAACCTGACTTGCATGTGCCTGACCAAGAAGGAAAGATACCAAACTACACTCTGACACCAACAAAGTGTCCATTTGTGTTTGAAGATCCAAAGAAAAAGGTGGAAAATCACATGATAAGGACTGTAAGAGTTAATACTGCACCTCTAGGGGTGGAGCAACCGCAGCGTGGGACTCGGCTGTTTGCACCCGTGGAATGTGCCTTGCTACAGAGGGGAAGAGATGAGAGTGAGCCAACTTGGGAAACGACCACTCAAAAGGTCCTCCAACAGCAGCAAGAAGCTCTTCCAGGAATTGTGCCCATACCACCTCATGTTAAAAGTAGTGAGATTAAAACTGTTGCATTTAGCAGAAGTGCCAAATATTTACTCCCTATTTTTGAAGTAATTAAAAATGTATTTGAAGCTCAGATAAAAAATATGTTCCAAGATAATGTTGCTTCTGATAAACTGGGAAAAGTTCAAACCTGTAATCCTGATGAGTTGAAGTCACGATCTGTTCCAGAATGTCCAGGCACATCATCAACAATGTATACCAAACTGCAGCACAAACCCCTTTTGGGGCATTTTACTCTTGAAGAAAAACATAAATTCACTAACCATTTGGAGTTAAAAGCACTCGAAATAAAACAAAATCTGATACCGGAGGTGGCAAAAAAATCCTCACAAAAGTTCAACTTTTATCCAATCGGGGCTATTTCAAAAGATAATCGCTTTAATAGATTAATGAGTGTTGTATCTCCAGAAGGGGTTGATAAGGAAGAACTTAATTTGGACCACAAATACCAAAAAGACGCACAGCCTATCAGCTATAAGAAGACACCAATTGCTAATGTTTCAAGTGACAACAAAGGGGTCCTTACAAAGTTCAAGACCACTGGAAAGCTACAACATGGGAAATCTCCAGTGCCTGCTGCTGAAATGCCATTGCCCCATGTTCTCCAAATCTACTCAGAAGAAGACAAAGACAAACTTTTCATGCACTTTTCTATGAAAATATTGGAGGTACAAATGAGAACATTTCCCAAACCTGTGAGAGAATCTTATGCAATGGCCAGTGCTCGTGGTAGAACTAAACCTTTATGTCTCTCTCTTCGTTCTGTGAAAGTACCAAAACAGAAAAACAGAATCTTCTTACTTTTTGACGAAAAGTCTCTTCATCAAATAGACCTGGATTTACAATACAAATATCTTCGTTTTCTCCAAGGGCTGCCTGTGGAAAGTATGTTCCCTAAGCCAAATGCTCTTCCCAAGCATATTCTTAAATTAAACACAACTGCAGGATGTAAGAAAGTAAATGACAGTGGAGAAAGTCATACTCTTTCCATTGATACAGAACTGTTAGAACAACATATCTCTTTCAAAAAGCAGAGTCCTCATGAAAACTCTTCACTCATCAGAAAATTCCTGGAGCCAACTCATGTGCGTGCTTTTGACCCTGGTCTCCACAGCGGGGTGCAGAAAGATACTAGTCTCCACAGGGCGGTGCAGAAAGATACTAGTCTCCACAGCACGGGGCAGAAAGATACTAGAGTTCTCACAGAGTTAGAAGCCCGTGTGACCCCAGAAAAAGAGAAACAGTATCGTGTCTGCTTTCAAGAAACAAGTATCTATAAATCTTTTAATTTAGGGACTCAGGAAAAGGTTACTAGTTTAGTTGGTTCACGTTCAACTCAGATTTCTAAAGATATTACTGATATTCAGACCATTAATGAGAAGTCAGCTAGTTTGGAGGAATGTCCAGTTCCTGAAGTGCGAGAAAGTAAGAGTAAGGAATGTATGTTTTTAGAAGCCAACTCTTACTTAAGTCAAGACTCACAAAACATTCTAGATGAATTACAAAAAGGCATTCCTTTGGAACATCTCTCCAAGAAGAAAGAAACCACTACTCAGTTGAAGCCATTTTACAGGGAGGGTTCAGGTTTTCATCGTATTAGTACCTGTAGAAGACATACCTTCATTGTGACATCACCTTCCTCTGAATCCCAGAAAAGTAGGAAACACAGTGCATCTTCCAAAGGGCAGTCTCCTGACATGTTGTGCCGGAGTTCACTAAAGGCTGCGGAACTTCAGTCCACCTCGTCTTCCCTCTCCTTCAGTGAGGAAAAAAGCTCATGCACAACAAAGAGCGGAACAAGTTACTCTTTAGCTTCCCTGACTGAAGCAAACATTAAATTACATCTTGCACAAAGCCAAGACAAGCCTCACAGGCGTTCGGAATACAAAAACAGAAAGAAAATTAAATTTGATGTATGCAGAAGGAACAACGTTCGTTGGGACTGTGATCACAGTTACACACACAGTAAAGACAAGCACGTAAGAAAGAAGAAAGTGAGGGATCCTGAGTCAGAAAGATTAGATTATTTCCAGAGCAAACAGAGATCGGCAGCAAAACCTCAGCATGGGGACACCAGCTTCCATTCTGAAAGAAAACAGAGCCAGCCGTTTTTTTACGTCTGTACACCAGCAGATTCACTGGATGTTGTACCCAAAACCATTCGCTGGCCTATCCCCTCCAAAACCTTAAAGAAGAGAAGCTTCAGAATTCCCGTGGTGGCAAAGATTTCAAGTCCTTGGAACATATGGAGTTCCTCCAAAAAGCTGTGGGAGTCACTCACAGGGTCCTTCCTTTAGTACAGCTGAGCAAAGCGGATGTTCCCATCTCCAGAGTGCCCTGAAGTGAGAAGCTGGCCTCTGTGATGGTATCCTGTGAGAAATAAAACAAGAGAAGGCAAATGGTTTCCTCACAAGGTGTTTTCTTAGCTGGTAGGCTTTGTTTCTGCAGTAGACGTGGGCAGTGGTCGTGGGAGGCTGAGATGGAGAAGCCGTTGGCTAGCTTTGATCCTACCGTGCCTGATTCTCCTTTAGTTTATGCATCCTCTTCTTGTTCCTGAGAGGGGAAGTCCACAGACGCAGAAGTCTTCTTTCCACTCTGCATCACTGTCTGAAGGGAGAGTGGGAGGATCTGTAGCCTGTAAGTGAGACTGAGGGTATCTAGAGATGTAGGAGCACAGGGGTGCAGAAACTGGAGTCAGGTAACAGTGAAGATTCTGTGATATCAAAAACTGAGTTTTGTCCATCGGTCGGTCTGACAGCCAGATTGACTATCTTAATACTTTTTGTTATAGAAGATTCTGCACACACAAACACACACAGAAGTGTATGACGGACTTCTGTGTACCCATTAACTAGACTTCAAAGTTTTTTAAAAAATAATTTATTTATTTGAAAGTCAGAGTTACAGAGAGGGAGAGACACAGAGAGAGAGATCTTCCATCTGCTGGTTCACTCTCCAAATGGCTGCAATAGCCAGGCCGAAGCCAGGAGCCAGGAGCTTCATCCTGGTCTCCCAATGGGTGCAGGGACCCAAGAACTTGGGCCATCTTCTGCTGCTTTCCCAGGCACATTAACAGGTAGCTGGATTGGAAGTGGAGCAACCAGGACATTCACTGGTGCCCATGTGGGATGCTGGCATCGCAGGCAGTGGCTCTGCCCACCTGGTATACTACAACATAGGGCCCAAGACCTCAGAATAGCAACCTGTTGCCAAACATGCCTTATCACATTCCATGTAGTTCTCCTTCACTAGTATTTTCAAATAATTCCTTGACATTTTATCCATAAATATTTTATTATGTATTAGATATGAAAGGGTGTATTTATTTAGAGAAAAAGAAATCACCATACATTTCTATTTTTATTTATTTATTTTTTTGTTACTTCCTAAATTTTATTCTAGTTTTTACTATGACTTATGTCCAGTATTGGCTAAGAGTGGTTTTACATTTTTAAAACTTTTATTTAGTAAATATAAATTTCCAAAGTACAGTTTATGGATTACAATGGCTCCCCCCCCCATAACTTCCCTCCCATCCGCAACCCTCCCCTCTCCCGCTCCCTCTCCCATTCCATTCACATCAAGATTCATTTCCAATTCTCTTTATATACAGAAGATCAATTTAGTATATATTAAGTAAAGATTTAATCAGTTTGCACCCACACAGAAACACAAAGTGTAAAATACTGTTTCAGTACTAGTTATAGCATTAATTCACATTGGACAACACATTAAGGACAGAGATCCTACATGAGGAGTAAGTACACAGTGACTCCTGTTGTTGACTTAACAATTTGACACTCTTGTTTATGGCATCAGTAATCTCCCTAGGCTCTAGTCATGAATTGCCAAGGCTATGGAAGCCTTTTGAGTTTGCCAACTTCGATCTTATTTAGGCAAGGTCATAATCAAAGTGGAAGTTCTCTCCTCCCTTCAGAGAAAGGCACCTCCTTATTTGATGGCCCATTCTTTCCACAGGGATCTCACTCGCAGAGATCTATCATTTAGGGGTGTGTGTGTGTGTGTGTGTGTGTTTTCCAGGGTGTCTTGGCTTTCCATGCCTAAAATACTCTCATGGGCTCTTCAGCCATATCCGAATGCCCTAAGGGCTGATTCTGAGGCCAGAGTGCTGTTTAGGACATCTGCCATTCTATGAGTCTGCTGTGTATCCCACTTTCCATGTTGGATCGTTCTGGGAGAGAGGTTTTTCCATCTGCTGGTTCATCCTCTAGATGGCCGTAATGAGCAGCACTGGGCCAGGCCAAAGCCAGGAGCCAGAAGCTTTACCTGGGTCTCCAACATGGATGCCAGGGACCCAAGCACTTGGGCCATCTTCTGCTGCTTTCCCAAGCACATTAGCAGGGAGCTGGATTGGAAGCGGAGAAGCCAGGACACGAACCATTGCTCGTGAGGGAGGCTTGTGAGGGATGTCACAGGTGGAAGCTTTACCTGCTACACCACATGGCTGATCCCTCTTATCACCTTTCAGTAAACTGCTTCTAAATGTTTTCATATAAAGATCAAAAGTAACTCAATATTCCAATAGTTGATCAACAGCTTGAAAAATTCAGTTACTTTGGCTGACCCTGGCAATTTTACATCTCATTTCATCTGTAAACACCAAACTCCATCAGAAGAGGAGCTAACAGTTCTGGTAACATACAGCCTGGCAAATTGGGATGCAAGGCATCCGTGATGTCACACACAGGTGTCTTTGCTATTTGTGGTAGTGGTATAGGTTTGAACACTACAAATACAAAAGGCCTGGTGAACTCTGTCATGAAATCCCTTTGAAATAAAAAAAAATGAGATATAGCATGCACACTTTATTTTTTGGTAGAGGACATCCTTTTTGTCTAGATATTGTGGTGAAAGATTTATCAGCTTATAATTTTACACACCCGATGAGTAGAAGCCTCATCCATGGCCCAGTTTCCTGTACCATGCCGTTTGAGCCTCATTTCTCCTCTCATTTCTCCTCCACTATGAGCATTCCTGCAGTCCTGGGCGCTGTAGGGAGATTTCACATCATGCTGTAGCCCCTGGCCTGAACCCTTCTGTTACCACCTGGGATGTGATCTCCACAGTAAGCAGAGGGCTTCCTCACAGCTGTTGCTACACCAGGGTGGCCAACATAGCTACCCCAAACCGAGTGTTAACTACAGAACTCTTTAACCCGTGAAATCCAGTCTGAACGAATCCCAAGTCAACTTACCCTGCTCTATCATGCTTATAGCAGCACTGTTCACAATAGCCAAAATATGGAATAAACCAAAGTTTCCACCATAAGATGAATGGATAAAGAAAATATCATACATGTATATGCACACACACAATAGAATAGCACTCAGTTACATCAAAAAAGAATGAAATCCTGTCATTTGCTGCAAAATGCTTGAAAGTGGAGGACATCATGTTGATCAAAATAAGCTAGACACAGAAAGATAAATATCGCATGGTCTACCTTATATGTGGCAGCTAAAATTTAAAAATGCTTGTGTGTAGCAGTTTTGCTGTGAACATGTTTTTGTTTTTGTTTTTGTTTTGTCAAACTTTGGTTTTAAATATCTCAAAAAGTTTATAAGGCTTATGTACTACTGTAGTATTAAAATATTTAAGATACATCAAAAAGTAAGTAATATTAATACAATTTTAAAGGAATTGCTTTATTTCAGCAGTAGGTAAAATCCCAGCCTAACAAATAAATTACATTCTGGTAAGAAATGTGCTACCTTCTAATAATAGGAGCTCCAGTGGACCGGACTTTCACGCAGTGTCCAGCAGATGTCGCTGTTTTCCTCACAGTTTAAAAACACCACGTGTCACTGGGCTCCTTCTGGAAATGCTGCCTTAAATTTGTTGCAATGGTTTATTTTCTGCAGTTCATTCAAGAGCAGGATCTCAAGAAAAATAGGACAAGGAAGTGCGGTGTGACTGGGGCCAAGGGACAACTGAGAGTAGTGAGAGCCTAAGCCTGCATTTATTGCTTTCTGCCACCCAGTCCCTTCTCTCTCTAACTCTCCTAGCCGACATCACACATTCACCTCTCTCCTCAAACCGTGAACACCGTCCACTCCAGTCTCACGAGCAGGTGACTTTGTACTTCACTGAGAAGCAGAGAGCCTTCACAGTCACATCTCTCTTGCCTACCTAAATAGCATATTCTTTTTTTAAAAAGTTTGCTTATTTGAGAGACACACATACATACACAGGGGGGAGAGAGTGAGAGAGAGAGAGAACTCTTCCACTACCACTGATTCATTTCCCAAATACCTGCAGTGGCCAGGGCTGGGACCAAGATACAGAAATTCAATCCTGGTCTCCCACGTGAGTGGCAAAAACTCAACTACTTGAGCCATCACTTGCTGTATTAATAGAAAGATGGAGTTAGGATACAAAGCCAGAAATTGAGGCCACTCCAATGAGAGTGTCCTAAGTATGTGGCTAAATACCCTCTCCAGATGGCATCTTCTTGCTATGACTTCACATGGCAGAAGGGCAATAGGGGACAAACAGACTCCTTTGAGCACTTTTATAAGAGCACTCATCTCTCAACAGCTCCTAAAGCTCCCATCCCAGTTCTATTGCTCTAGGGTTCAAGTTTCAACACAAAGTTTGGAAGGACGCAAACACTCAGAACATTCCACTTTCCTACGCAAGGAATCACTTCCACATTTCTTCTCTCCATTACTTTATTGTCTCGCCCTCTACCGGGTCCTGTCCAAGAGATACATACTGTCACTTCCTTCACCTAAAAATTAACAAAATAAAAACCACCTCCCCGGGGCCAGCATTGGAGCACAGCAGGTTTAAGCTACCACTTCCAGCTCCAGCTTCCCAGAGTACTGGTCTGAGTACCAGCTGCTTCTCTCCTGATTAATTTCCCTTTTAACATGCCTGAAAAAGCAGCAGGAGATGGCCCAAGTACCTGGATCCCTGCCACCCACATGCGAGAACTGTTTGGGGTTGCAGGTTCCTGGTTTCAACCTGGTCCAACCTTGGCAATTGTGGTCATTTAGGGAGTGAATCAGCAGAAAGACGATCTCTCTCTCATCTTTCTTTCCTTCTTTGTCAGTCTGCCTTTCAAATAAAATAATGTAATTAAAAAATCTCTTTCAGCTGGCATTGTGATGTGGTGGGTAAAGCTACATCCTGTGACACCAGCATCTCATAAAGACACCGGTTTGTTTCCTGGCTGCTCTGCTTCAGATCCAGCCCCCTGCTCATGGTCTGGGAAAAGCAGAGGAAGATGGCCCAAGTACTTGAGCCTCTGTCACCCACCCATCTGAAGACCCAGATGAAGCTCCTGGTTTCTAGCTTTGGCCTAGCCATCTGGGAAGTGAACCAGCAATGGAAGAGCTCTGTCCCTCTCTCTGTGTAATTCTGACTTTCCAAATAAGTGAATCCTTAAAGCAAACAACAACAAAAACCTCTTAACTGGTATTTCCCTGCCAACTACTTCCTCATTTATTTTCTTGTCTTTACCGTAAGTCCTCAAAAGCATTGTCTTGACTCATTATACAATTTATCTATTTACATTTTTCTCATACATCTACAGCAATCACATTTCTTTCACCATTCCTCCTAAACTTTCCTTATCAGAGTTCCCAGCAATGCCCACATTGTAAAATTCAGTGCTAGCTCTGGCCTCAGAATCAGCCCTAAAGGCACTTGGATCTGGCTGAAAAGCCCATGAGAGTATTTCAGGCATGGAAAGCCAAGACACTCTGGCAAAAGATCTCTGTGAGTGAGATCCCAGTGGAAAGAACAG